TATCCATATTGCACAGAGTTTTTCTAGCTATAACACACACAAAAAAGAATTGAGGAATGCAGCTACCAAATTGGTATCCTTAGAAAAGCATTTGTATAGGGGCGCCTGGGTGGCTCAGATGGTTGAGCGTCCAACTCTTGATTTCGGCTCAGCTCAGGTTCCCAGGGTCGCAGGATTGAGCCCCGCATTGAGCTCTGTGCGAAGTATGGAGTCTGCTTGGGATTCTCTTCTCTCTCTCTCTCTCTCTCTCTCTCTCTCTCTCTCTCTCTCAGTAAAACAAACAAACAAAAACTAGGATGGGAGAAAAGGTTTATCCCATTAGCTAGGTATGCCTGGGTCTTTTTTTTTTTTTTTTTTTCCAATTTCCAAATTAGAAGAGGTTGACTCTAACACCAGAAGTGTGCTCAATATTATTTATAGTTGGTTGGGCATGTGTGCCTGTATGTTAAGGATTTGGTAAGTTTCACATAGGTTATTGTGTACTATCAGTTCAGATTGTCATCTAATTCTTAAAAAAGAAAGTCAAGTCTAAAGTTGAAAAGATCACTTCAAGTATTAAACATATGTAAACTGGACTCTGTTAGACTCAAATTCAGGTTCTCAGAAGGAGCAGATCTTATAAGCATCAACACACACTGAATTATGCTCGTTCAAGTCTAATTCCTGCTTGTACGTGCACTGTGGCCCATACCTCAGGAGACGAGAGAGGAGGGGTGACTGTGACCAAGCACCGCAGTGTGCCCCTCACTCCTTTATCATCTACCTATTGCATCCAAGCATCAGCATTACGGAAAGATGGGTGAGATCCCTCGGTCCCTTCCCCTTCTGCATTCCCTGTTAGCTTTTCCCCTCCCAAACTGCCTGCGATGGTTTCCGTGTTTCACTCTGGTACACGTATTGGCACAAAGGAAAGGGGGAGCACGCAGAGTGTGGTTCTCCGGCGTCCCTTCCCCCTGGCCTCTTCTCCCTGGCCTGTCAACAATGCAGGTCTAGATTATTTTCAGCCTGGGCTATGCTGTGGACTCAGAGCGAAAATGCTTTCCGTGGCTGAGGCTTACAAAGCAGGTGAGAAGCCCTGGTTTGGGGGAAAAATCTTCACCCGTCAGCAGAAAGCCCCCCTTCTTCCCATCCCCACACTTGGGACTCCCAGTAAAAATGCAAGTTGTGAGGAGGAAGGATGGCCGATTCAGCATGACTGGCAAAACCCTGGCCTGCTTCTTGGCTCTCATCGGCCAGAGTAACAACTCTGCAAGTAAATAAGGCACGATGCCAGAGAGACCGGCCAAAACAAAGTCCTATTGGGAGGGCAGGTGGCGAGACCTGATCAGTAGTGCAAGGCTGCAGGGGAAGCATGGCAGGCACAAACCACGTCTCCTCAGCCCACCATTTCCCCCACGACTAGCACAATGGCCATCCTAGAAGCCCTCCCTCTAGACGGGCACCCCTCTTCTCAGTTAGTCTAGCAGGAATGCTTGGGGTTACTCGCAGTTCCAGAATCAGCAAGTCATAGTCAGATGTTAGGATAGGGAAAGAAGTCAGTGTTACCCTTTGTGTTTCCCCTCTGAGCTCTCACCACTGGGCCCTGCACAGAGTAGGCTGGGCATCGGTGCCTGATGGAATCACCCTTTGTGATACCTTCTTTAGAGTCTCTGTTTCTGAACGATTACCAGTCCTCAAGACCCTGGTTCTGTGGCTGCTCTGAACACTCTCTGGCTGTTTTCTGAGTGGCCAAAAGCTGGAGCAAAATAACCAAGACAGGGAAGTAGTACTTGCCTTCACCTTTCAGGACATCAGACGGATGACTGACACTGTGGCTGGCTTCCCCGCCCCGCGTCTGACCCTCCCCTGCTTACTTCCTTATCTCTAACCCTTTCCCTCAGAGAGCCCTGACACAAGGGACTGCAAAATTTCCGGCGGTCCAAGCCTGAGGCTGCGAATTCTGGGCTTGCCAACATCAATTCCTTTCTACCAGAGAGACAGGGAGCAGAGCACAGGAGCACAGAGAGCCAGCTCACCGCCACATCCCCGTCTATCCCTTGGTTAGGAAGCATGGTGCCCAAGGCCTCTCTCTTCTCCACCTCCCTCTCTCTATACTCCCCCCTCGGGGGCATCTGGAAGGCTCAGGAAGGATGGGAAGCAGTGCTCCCTGCAACACTTGGAGGAAATTTGTTGGCTCCCTGGTTCGGGAGAATGCAGTCACTGTGTCCTCCTCATTTTGAAGCTGGGGCTTCCTTTCCCCAGCTTTCCCCAGAAAATATTTGGACATTTGTTAATAGAGTAACACATGCTTTTTCTTTTCCAGTTTCCCCCTTGGCAGTTTTTGAGATTTTGGCAGTGTTTCTCATATAGACATAGCAATATTGTCAAGGCTTCATTTTTCAGCATCGTGATCTTTTTCTTGAGAGCCAACAGTGGCGAGAAACGATACATGGCATTTAAAGATCAGAATGGAGGAAGGTGAGAACAGAAGTGTAAAATGCTATTTTTTAAAAAACAGCTACACCTGTTTCCTATTCTTACATAGGTTAGGCATCCGTTAATGTTTATCCTTCCGTTGTATTCTTGCTGATAATATAACCGTATATTTTTTAAAGTGCTACTCAAGATAATGTGGGCAAATTCCCACAGACAAAAACTAAGGAAATCTTATTTCACATAATTAAACTAACATTTTCTATCTTCCCACTTATAACTTCAGCGTTGTTGCTTTTTAAAAATTTGTTCTCAGGGAGCCTGGGTGGCTCAGTTGGTTAAGCGTCTGACTCTTGGTCTTGGCTCAGGTCATGAGACTGACCCCCGCCTCAGGCTCTGCACTGACAGTGGGCAGCCTGCCTGGGATTCTCTCCCTCCTTCTCTCCCTGCCCCTTCCCAGTTCATGCGCTCTCTTTAAATAAATAAATACTTAAAAAAATAAAAATAAAAATTCGTTCTTGATATTTACATGATTATGAGCTTTTTCAGTATCTTTTCTACTGTCTTTTATATACGTGAAGGTTCTGCATTGACAGACCCCACCTTGGGTTCGATTAATTTACTACAGCAGCTCACAGAACTCAGGGAAACATTTTCTCGTACTTACTAGATAGTAACTCAGGAACACACCACATGGAAGAAATGCGTAGGTCAAGTTACGTGTGAAGGGGTGCAGAGCCTCCAGCCTCTCTGAGTCATCGCCCTCCCCATATCGCCATATGTTCACCATGGAAGCTGTCAACCCCGTTCTTTTGGATTTTTCAAGAGGTTTCTTTACATAGGCATGATTGATCAAAGCACTGGCCATTGGCAGTTGGTTCAACCTCCAATCCCTCTCCCCTCCCCAGAGGTCTGGGGTGGGACTGAAAGTTCTAACCCTCTAAACACATGATTGACTCCACTGGCAACCAGCCCTTGTCCTTAAGTCATCCCACTAACATAACAAAAGACATCTTTATCACTCTAATCCTTAGGAAATTCCAAGGGCTTTGTGATCTGTGAGCCAGGAAGTTCGGGTGAAGAACAAATATAGACGTGAAATATATTCTCCTCATCTGAATGACCAAATACGTATTTTTTCTTATAAGTCGTAATATCACAATATGAGTTAAAGCTGTTGCAGGATACAAATGAGATTTGCTCCCAATTACTTAATTCTCCTCTGCCCAACCATTTCCAAGGAAACTGAATATATGTGTATCTGTAATCATGGAACATTACCAGTTCTATTCAAATTTTAATGCACACCCACCAAATTTTCACCGTTTGAGATGACTCATTTTCTCTATACTTTCCTGCTGAGGTTGTATAATTAAGACAATAATAAATCATCCTAATTAAATGTTGGAAACTTAGCACAATCCAGGCAGGTGTGTGTAAGACCCTTTCATGTTCTAACTTCAGAAAGAGAGGGATATAGCTCTTCCCTGATCGGGGTCAAAAATGTATGGCTCCTACATGCACTTGGGTGATGAGCAAACAGCATTCAACTAGTAGTACCACAAATCGAATTCAGCCTCCAACTAGCTGTGTTCTAGAACCCCAAGAAATTCATTTGGCCTCTCCAGGATCTATGATCTCATAGGTCAATGGGGGGCTGTTATCATGGCGCCCATCTGTCTTCATAATCTAAGGAAAACTATGGAATATCATGAGAAACATGCTCATAGCCATAAAGTTTGCTAGTCAGTTTTAGGGATTCATGTGTCTAAGACTGTCTGCACCAGAAGATAAAATTCCTTCTTCCTCTTGCATTCTATGATGTTAAGACTTAGTAGCTGATAACGAGGAAGACTTCGTTCATCTTCTTAGTCTATTCACAGGGCTAGTGGCTGAGGATGAGGAATGGCAAATGGCTTGTATAGCTATCTTGTATCCATGGCAACTTTGAATACTCTCAACCAGTCTGTGAAAAGAATACTTAAGATATCTACAAGAGATGAAAATGTGGTTATTACTGGTTCAGTGAATTTAATTAGTTTGACTACCTTTTGCACAATATGAACTTTTTCTGGAGCCTACAATGAAATAATTGATAAGAAAGTCCTTTGGAAGCTAGAAAGTGCTATCTATACTACTCCTTCTTAATTTTTATGACATAGATTTATATACTATAAAGAGCAAAAAAAAAAAAAATCAATGGCAATATGCTTACATCCCCAGTTTTGACCAAACTCATTAACTAACCTGCTGGGTCTATAGAAGAACAATCTGGTATAGCTAAAAGTTTATCAACCTAAATAAAGAGGTAAACCGAGGCAAGCTCAAATGACCAGAAATTGAGTTTATTTGGGAACAGCAGAGGAGCTGCAATTCATTGTGACGTTGCAGGCTACAGGTGAGTCTGCTGAGGGTTTGGAGCAGGCTGTATTTATAGGCAAGTTGTGCAAAGAGGGGGATGTCCAGCCAGAGTCCAAGCAGTGAGTTCCATGGCTTGCGAATGGGAAAAGATTCTTGGCAGTTGCTCATTGGTCAGGGGATAAGTCTTGGTCTTCTGTACATCAGACATTTCTGAGAAATCCGTCTCCAGGTTCTTAGGTTCTGTTCTTCTAGGAGGTGCGTGTGCGACATTCTCCGTTTCATATAATCAGGTTCCACTTTAGATTGAAGTCCTTTTACAAGTTACCAGGAATTTTTGAAGAAATAAAATATTGGCACAATATGATTTGTCTACCTTTTCCCTGTCTTACTTACCTTCTTTACTTACCTTCCTTACCTTCAGCTTACCTTCCTTAAACATCTCTTGACCGCCCAACATGTCAGACACCGACCTGAGAGCTAGGTACAGAGCAGGTGTCCTTTAATTCCTTAGTTAGCCTGAGTTAACCTATAGATTTGCTGTCAAAAGGTCTAACCTGGGCAGTTGCATCTAGTTCACCCTGTAGGTACACCGTGCAGCCCATTCTACAAACATTGACCAGGTGCCTGCTTCCTGCCAGCTACTGTATCACATGCATGTGGACTTTGTCTTCAAGCAGTTCATGTTGTTTTGGAGGGAGCCTGACACGCAAGCTAACAATCACGATAAGATACAGCGACCACATGTCCTATCTGTAAAGGTAGGTGGGGAGTGGAGCAGGGAGGGCGGGAGAAGTCAGTTACACTGTGTCCACCAGTGCCATGCAGAACTCATAGGACTCCAGGGCTGCGAGTGAGGTTTCAACAGCACGTTGTTCAACCTTTTCATTTTACAGATGAGAAAACGGAGTCCCAAAGAGCGAGAGTGACTTATAAATGGTTGAGTAATCGGTTAGTGCAGAACTAGAACTCAGGTTGCCGTCAGGGGTGTCTCCTCAGCAAGGGCAATGTTGCCCCCATTGGGGTGAAAAATGGTTCTTGGAGACAAAAATTTTAGATATTCTAAGGGTGCAGGGAATCCACAGAGGTGGCAGCCAGAGATGTTGGCCAACTGAGTTCCTCGCAGCAGGATCTCTTCAAGGACGAGCTGTGTAGTGCCTCTTCATGACTACCACAGGGACCTAATTCTGGTTCATTTTCCACCACCTCACAAGTTAGGTGTCATTATCCCCACCTAAAGAGAGAGAAACATGCTCAGAGAGGCTAAGCAACTTTCTGGAAGTCACACAGTTGGTAAATGGCAGAGATGGGACTTGCACCAAGGCTTTTCTGTTTCAAACATGTTCTCTTTAGGATTTCTAAAACTTTATTGACGTTCTTAGCAAATTCTTAAAAGTAGGCAGGGGAAGCTCTGCATTATCATAGGGCAGAAGGGGAGGAGTCTCGGACTGCACAACTCTACCAACAGGATACAGGATATAGAACAAATTAGCAGAAACTGAATGTAATAAATTCAGACAGTAGATCATTGGCATTCTTGGATTTAAAATTCATGGTTTTAATCATTTGTGAGACTCCCTGGCTCATAACTTGAAAGAATCTCAAATTTTACTGATTCATACAGCTGAATATTTTGGGGATGGGCATGTCGATATTCCTGATGATCTACTCAGCTGGTGAGAGATGCTCATAGCTGATTTAGCAATTCTGCCTTCGCTTGGCTTTCTTATGCTGAGTCATTGTCCCATATTCAGAAACACTCATAAGGTGAAACGAATTTGATTTCTTTTTGAAAAGTGTCCAAAAAGGAAACTAACTGCTAATGCTGATGACCGAAGTGAAATGCCTGAAATAATTTTTAGCTAACAATGAAAAGTGTGGGATACGCTAGAGTGAAATGTCAAATTTGTCTGTGGAACAATCACACTCTAGATGGGGGCATCAGGTGGTCCCACAGAGGAATAGGAGACACCTGTGACACCATTTCAAGAGGGTGCTCTGGCCTCTGGCATAATTGTTCTCAAGCAACGGAGAGATTTTTAAGAGGCTAAAAAGAGGCCACGTTACTATATATTATGGGAAATATTAAGGCTTATGGTGGTATTTATGAATTTGGGGTATTCTTGAAGGCCATACACCTGTCTCAAAAAAATAAAATGTTAAGTTCCAGCGTCTACTATAGTGGAGTTTCCTGAAATCTCTCTAGATATCTGTTCCACCCCCAGTGTTGCCCATTTTGGAATATGGTATACCATTCACCTATAGTCCCTCAGCCGCACAAACTCAGCCTCTCCCTTGGCCCTTCTGTTTTGCTCACACCATTTATTTAATTGCCCAGCAAAATCTTTTGACTCTAAATTGAAAGTATGTTCTAAAGCACAGTTCTTTCTGTCACTTCTACCACGATTATTCATTCTCAAATAACCACCCTCCCATAGAAGAGCCTCATGAAGGAATGTCCTTCCTTCAGAATCCAAGGTGGTTGCTGGAAAAGAGAAGCCAGATCTAAGCAAACAGCAAAAACCTTTCAGTAACTTTCTACTTGACTTAGAATGAATCCAATATCCTATTCATTGCCTCTAAAGCTACCCATGATCAGGTCCCTGGCTTCCCCTCAGACTTCATCTACCTACCCCCTGTTCACTCACTCTTTCTCAGTCATGTTGGCTTCTTATCTTTTTGGATGTGACAAACATGATCCTACCTCAGGGCCTTTGCACTTGCCTGGGACTCTATTTTTCTACATATCCATATGACCTTTCTCTTAGGTCTTCCTTAGGTCTTCACTCAGTGGTCACCACCTGACCTCTGACACAGGCCTTCCCTGACACATCTATGACCTGTCCCCCTGCCAATCTCTACTTTCTTATTCAGCTTTACTTTTCTCAGTGGCATTTATTACTGTGGCCATTGCATTATATATGTGTATGTCTTTCTCCTTATATATTTATTCATTATCTATATCCCAAACAGGAATATAAGCTCCATGAGAGAGAATTTCTTTTGTTCACTGCTGTCATACCAACACCAAAACAAGGTGTGGCACATAGTGGATACTCAGTAAATACTTAAGGAATATATACGTGACTATCTGGACAGTGTGTGCCCTGCTTTAAATTGGTCATTTAGGATTAAGCAGACACTAGAAAGGGGACAGAGTGTCTGTGGAAGACCATGGTGGGCATGGTTAGAGGTACCAGTCCTTTTCTGCCCCCAGGTCAACCCAAGGTTCCCCGGCCCTCAGAGGCACCAGACGCAGCACGCTGTGCGTCAGGCAGCCTGAGCACACTGGTATCCATCCCGATGGGGTGGTTCATGCAGGCAACTGGAAAGAAGAAGGTGTGGGCAGAACTGAGCTGTGTTACGAAGCGGGGGCGGAGTAGATTCACATCCTATTAATAAACTGAAGAATTAAGGTTGTTGAGACTGAAGGGTGAAATCTGCATATTTCTCTGAATGACTTTTGCATTGTGTTATGCAAGCAGGCAGATTTTATTCCTCCCTTTCTATTAGACTTCTATTACTTTCAGGATGAATGTAGAATATTTATATTGCCATTGTTTATTTAAAAAAATGAAAGATGCAAAAAAATAATAAAAAATAAAAAATAAATAAAAAAATAAAAAAATGAAAGATGCAGGGCCCCTGGGTGGCTCTGTCGGTTAAGTGTCTGGCTTCAGTTCAAGTCATGATCTCACGGTTCATGGGTTCGAGCCCTGCGTTGGGGTCTGTGCTGACAGCTCGGAGCTTGGAGCCTGCTTCAGGTTCTATGTCTCCCTCTTTGTGCCCCTCCCCACTCGTGCTCTGTCTCTTTCTCTCTCTCAAAAATAAATAAACATTAAAAAAATCTTTTTTAGAAAATGAAAGATGCATTTCACCCTCAGTTGTATAAAATATTAGTAGCTGAAAACAGCACAGACTTAAATTATGTAAGTGGTAGCAAAGTCACCTTTTCCTGAGATAAACATGAACACATTAGAAGCGTACTCTGTCTTTGTATTAAGAATGTCTAGTGTTTATCTGTAGTTTGGCAGACAGAAACCAGGGACGGCTGAAGAAAAAAATTCATGGTTTAAAGGGTAAACATTAAGCAAAAAACACATCAAATTCAGAATGAACTTAAAATAAGGTGACGATTTTTCATTCAATATGAACTAATCATTTGATAAACTAATTTTGCTTTTTGAAATCTAATCCCACGTGAACTATTTTTCAGTTAACTTCATTTAATTTTCTCAGTTTCCTTTCATAATTATGCGGTGTATATGATTCCCTATGCCAGTCAGATAATACTTTTTAAAAATCTCTTCATTTCTATCACCAAAATATATATGTAGGTATAGCACAATAAGTCCTATAGAATCTGTATTGAGTGAGTTTCTACTTCTTTGTTCTGAATGTGAGAAGGCTTTGCACAGAGAGTATCTTCGATACTTAGTTTAGCACTCTGGGTACAACAGTAGTTCAGTTAAGGTCAGGTGATTGCTAATACTGAAAAGATACTGTCTTTCTGGGCTACACCTTTTTTCATCCTTTGGGCTAAAGAGAGCAGACTTGATGGGTTAGTATTATGATTAAAAGAAATTATGGTCAGAGTAAAAGAAAAATGTCAATCGGCTACGGATTAAAAATACAATTGATTTCCGTTCATGCTCTGTCTCTCTCTGTCCCAAAAATAAATAAACGTTGAAAAAAAAATTTAAAAAAAAAATACAATTGATTTTTCTTTTTAAATAGTGCTGGCTAGGAGACTTCCATTGCTGGAGAAATAAAATGGATGCAATTTTCCTAGGAGTCTACTAAATGAGTTGGAAATTTACACACACACACACACACACACACACACACACTGCACAGGAATGTTTATAGCAGCTTTATTCATAATTGCCAAAATTTGGAAGCAATGGAAATGTCCTTCAACATGTGAATGGATAGACTATGACACATCCGTACAATGCAATAGTATTCAGTCTTAAAAAGAAACGAACCAAAAAAGAAACAAAAAGAAGTCTGGGAAACTTTAATGCATGTTGCTAAGTAGAGGAAGCCAATCTGAAAAGGCTACATATTGTATGAGTCTAACTGTATGACAATCTGTAACAGGCAAGATTGCACAGATAGTACAGAGACAGTACAAAAATTGTTAGTTGCCAAGGATTTGCCTGGGAGAGAGGGGGAGATTGAATAGGCAGAGCCTAGGGGGTTTTTAAGGCAGAGAAAGTATGTTCTATGTAACACTGCAATGGCAGATATGTGGCATTATGCATTTGTCGAAACGCGTAGAATATACAATACATAGAGTGAACCCTAATGTAAATGATGGACTTTGTTAATAATACTGTATCATTATAGGTTCATCAACTGTAACAAATGTTCCACATTAGAGCAAGGTGCTAATAACAGGGAAATGGGGGTGGGGTAGGGAAGGAGAGGGAGGGTATATGGGAACTCTCTACTCACTGTTCAATTTTTCTGCAAACCTAAAATCTCTAAAAAAATAAAGTCTATTGATGAGTTTTAAAGTTAAAAAAAATGACACAGTGATAAACTGTCTATAATAAATCCAATTCGGCTATAAACTATATAGATAGGCTGCAAGTAAGAGAATAAGAATCATGCAAACATTAGTCAGAAAAACATCTTTAGAGCAAAGAAAATTTCCAGAAACAGAGAGGAACACACTGGTAAAAAGATCAGCCTGCCAGGAAGACCTAGCAGTCGTACTTATGGGCATTTACCCCAGAGGAATGAAAAATGATAG